AGACCCCATGACCTAGCTTTCATGCTAGGTAAGCACTCTACCACTGGGCCACATCCCCAGTCATTTTTATTTTATTTTGAGACAAGATTTTGCTAAGTTTGTCCATAATGGTCTCCAACTTTCTATCCTCCTACCTCGGTCTCCCTAGTAGCTGGGATTTCAGGTGTTCACCATCACACCTGGCAAAAGAGAACTACTTTTTTTTTTCCCTAGTACTGGAGAATGAACTCAGAGGCACTTGACCCCTGAGCCCCATCCCCAGCCCCTATTTTGTATTTTACTTAGAGACAGGGTCTCACTGAGTTGCTTAGCGCCTCGCTTTTGATGAGGCTGGCTTTGAACTCGATATCCTCCTACCTCAGCCTCCCGAGCTGTTGGGATTACAGGCATGCACCACTGTGCTCGGCTCTCCTATTCCTTTTTATTTTTTACTTGGAGACAGGGTCTTCTTAAGTTGCTTAAGGTCTCAATGAGTTGCTGAGTCTGAACTCAAACTTGTGATCCTCCTGCCTCAGCTTCCCAAGTTGCTGGGATTACAGGTGGGCACCACTGCACCCAGATTTTTTTTTAATAGTGCTAGAGATTGAACTTAGAGCCATGCACATGCTAGACAAGTACTCTACACTGAGTTACGTCCCCAGCCTTATGGAACTTCTAATGTAGACTTTTAAACTCTGCAAAAATAACTTTTAAGAATGTACCTGGTGTTAGTTTGCTAGAGTTGCCATCACAAAATACCACAGACTGGATGACTTAAACAACAGATATTTTTAAGTCAAAAAATCCAAGCTCAGGCTGACGGAAGGTTCCATTTCTTCTGTGGCCTTTCTCCTTAGCTTGCAGACAGCTGCCTTCTCACGGTGCCCTCACCTGCTCTTTCCTCTGCCCAGAGTCTGTGTTCCCTTGTAATTTACTTGTCTTATAAGGACACTGGTTGGACTGGATTAGGGCTCACCCTAACCAACTTACTTTAAATTACCTCTTTTAACGGCCCTATCGCCAAATCTGTCCACATTCTGAGGTACTGGATATTAGGGACTCAACATATGGATTTGGGGATTAGGGGACACAATTCAGCCTACAACATATGTTTTCATATTTCATTGAATGTAATAAAATTTCAATTCTCTTCACACAAGTAAAATATTTTCAGATGACAAAACAGAGTTTCTAACCATCAGATCTTCATTATGGAAAATTATAAAGGATATATGTGGGCAGAAGACAAGATACCAAAATAGAAGGTACCAGAAAGAAGAAAGAATGAAGAAAAGGGTCCATACGCGCATGAAATATAAGAGAACATTTTTCACTTTCAATAGTAACATTAGCTGGGCTTGGTAGTGTTTAACTGCAGTCCCAACGACTCTGGAGGCTGAGGCAGGAGGATTGCTTAAGTCCAGGAGGCTGTTTTTCCTTCCTTTCTTTCTTTTTTGTTTTTGTTTTGATACTGGTAATCAAACCACCCAGGGGTGCTTCAGCACTGACCTATATCCCCAGTCCGTTTTATTTTTTTTAGACTAAGTTGCTGAGGGTGGCCACCAATTTATGATCCTCCTGTCTCAGCCTCTCAAATCACTGGAATTACAAGCATGCATCATTGTGCCTATCAAGCCCAGGAATTTGAAGCCAGCCTGAGCAATAGACCAAAACCCCATCTTAAAAATCAACTAATTAAAAAACAGTTATGTCTAGTGGGGAAATAACATAGAAGAAAACAGACTTAAAATTCCAAACCTCAGTAACATATGAATTGAAAAGAAACTAAATGAGTTTAAGGTGTTCTAAGGTCTTTTTATTACCCAGGAATGGGTAAAATTTTAAAATATAGACTTCTGCATGAAAACTATACATTTGTAATCCCTCAAACCCCTGAAAGAACAGAAACATTTATAACTTTTAACCTGTGGTGGTTGTGGGATTTAGTGTTTTTAAAAATAAATAAACAAATAAACAAAAAGAGACAAAAGGGCTGTGGATGTAGCTCAGTGGTAGCACACATGTGCCTAGCACACATGAGATTCACTGTGTGAAAGTGTCCCTCCTCTCTCTACTGGGATAAGATGATGGAGGAGCCCAGCATCAGGGCACACACCTGTAATCCCAGTGACTCAGGAGGCTGAAGCAGGAGAATCACGAGTTCAAAGCCAGCCTTAGATACTCAGTGAGGCCCTAAGCAACAGTGAGACCCTGTCTCTAAATAAAATACAAACAGGGTTGGGGATGGGGCTCACTGCTAGAGTGTCCCTGAGTTCAATCCGCAGTACCAAAAGAAGGAAAGAAAGAAACCGGTGACTGCCATCAACATCAATATGGAATGTCCTCTCTTGGCCTCATTTTTCTCTGTACAATGGGACTGTTATAGGACAACAAGATTGTCACAATGAGACTGCACAGGCCAGCCACAGGGACAAGGACAATAACGATCATGATCACCTTTGGGGTCTTCATCTCCCTGTCTGGGTCTCTGCAAGTCTCCCCCTCCTTTTAGGATTTATAACCTCAGCCCCTCCCACGCCTCTCTGAACCCCAGCGGCTATTTTCAACTGGCGTCAGGCGGACAGCAAACTCAAGTAAACAGACGGCGTGGGCGGCCAGCAGTGGGCGATGTCTGGACGGGGGCGCAGTCAGCAGTAAACACCTGGCCTGAGTTTCTGGCCAGGACCCTCTGGGTTCCCAGAGCTGCGGGCCCAGCAGAAAGAGGCTGTGGAGAGGCTGGTCCAATTAACTCCCTGAGAAAAACATCGGAGAGGGAGGCAGGGCAGAGGAGCCCCAGAACAGAGTCTGGAAGTAAACAATGGGGGGGGGGAATGAAATGGAAGAGAAAGAGGGGGGGAACCCACGGGGAGGGCCCCGGAATCTGGGATTCTCCAGTCTGTGCCCTTGTTCAGGGGAGTCAAGGACCTCAAACCCGCCCCTGCCTTCCATCAGTCTTCCCAGCACAGCTGCAGTAATGGTCACTGGGTCGCAGGGTCCAGGCCCTAGGCACCCAGGTAGCCCAACCCTGAGTTAAAAAGGTCACCGAAAAGGTCACTGCTGTGTCCCTAAACAAAGCACTTGGCACAGGGTTCCCATGCCTGTCCTGGTCCCCTTGGTTCTTCACAATGCAGACCACCCTCTCTTCCTTCAAGGACATCCGTCCAAATGTGTCACTGGGATACCACCTCCCCTCTTCTGGTGTCCTAGCTCAGGCTCTGCCTGTAAGAGGCAGGACACTCCAAGCTCTGCTGCTGTCCCTGATCACTTACATTTGGCTCACAGGGGACAGGAGGATGCCTGGGTTTGGAGACAGACAGCCCTGCCTGCACCTTACCACTTACTGACCATATATGACTTGGGACAAGCTCTCTGTGCAATGGGACTTTTAATAGACCCTCCTTCCCAGGGTCTGGGGAAGGGGGTGTTCAATGAGAGCCCCGGGCATGGGACTGGCCCCAAGGAGACCTTCAGCAAGGGAGTCCCTAGGCTTATTGCATTAATTGTGCCTGAGTCACCATCGTGCCATTTCATGAGCACCTGACCCAGGCCGGGCTCTGTGCTGGGACTTAGTGATCACAACAGCAGTCCGTGCTCTGGGGCAGGTGCTGACATCATCTTGGAACAACACAAGAGGAAACTGAGGCTGGGCAGAGTTAAATAACCAGCTGTTCAGAGCTGCAGGGAGTAGCCAGGGTTGAACCTGGGGCTGCTTCCTGAGCACTTATTGATGATGCTCTCTGTCCCCTCTCCAAACTATGGGAAAATTGTGCTCAACTCACGGCCAGGGTCCTCTGCCCCTTCTAACATTAATTCCCAGTGTTTCTGGAGATAAGACATAGGTGTCGGGCTGGGGATGTGGCTCAAGCGGTAGTGCGCTCGCCTGGCATGCGTGCGGCCCGGGTTCGATCCTCCTCAGCACCACATACAAACAAAGATGTTGTGTCCACCGAAAACTTAAAAATAAATAAATAAAAAAAAAAAAAAAAAAAAAGACATAGGTGTCAATCTCAACTCTGCCTCTTCCCTACTGTGTGACCTTAAGTACATTCTTTAACTTCACAGTCTCTTTTTCTCCTTTATAAAATGTAAATAATCGTTGTCACCTCCTTGACATTCAAAGAGATCATGTGCACTGAGCACTGTAGCATATGCCCAATAAATATTCCTTGACTAAGTGTCTCCTTCTGGGTCTGGAGGTGTGGCTCAGTGGTAAAGTGCATGCTTAGCTTGGGCAAGGCCCTATGTTCAATCCCTAGAGCACACACATTCACAAGCACATGCACACACACACACACAAAAGTAGTTGAGAATGTAAATCAGTGGTCTAGTACTTGCCTAGCATGCTCAAGGCCCTGGGTTTCATTCCCAGCATAGCAGGAGGGGAAAAGTGGCTTCCACTTTAGGATTGATAAAAAGGTTTAAGAAGGACTTGCTTTGGAGTTCCACAGGCCCACTCCTGCCAATTGCATGCTGTGTGACCATGGGCCAATGAGTTTCCCTTCCAGAGCCTCAGTCAGCATCCATAAAACAAGATCATGACTGTGGCCCTCATGGAAATATTATGAGGACTAAGTCAGATCATGCAGGTAATTGTACCGTCCAGTGTCTGGCTCACAATAAGGGACAGTTACAAAGAATAGCAATGGCTCTGGAGGATTCAAAGGGAGCACCCTCCAGCCTTGGAGAAAGGAGGATGGTGAGTGCATTTAAAACCATATATCCTAATTGAGCAGACAGGGAAACTGAGGCCCAGGGAGTGGAAGGGCCTTTGCAGAGGACTCACAGCACCTTGGAGGCAACAGGACCTGGACCTGGAAATGACCGCCTTCTGGACCTCCGTGGGAGACCAGAGTCAAATGGGGGTCATAGGCAGGAGTGGGCCCTTTAAATACTAAGCTCCACCTTTGCTTAGAAGGGGCTCTGGGGAGTATAAAAGGGGGTGCAGCTCCTTTGCTCCACAAAACACTGCTGCTCCTGCCCACAGGTCCTCAGGCCCAGCCCCCCTCTAGCCGCCCCCTGCCATGGAGCTGCCACCCTTTGACATGTGGAAGGACTACCTCAACCTGAACCAGGTGGTGCTGACTCTGACCCAGAGCAGGAGCCAGAGGCTGGAGGCAGAGGAGCTGGAGGAGCAGGGACCTGGCCCCCAGCTGGGGCAGGATCAGGGGCTGGGGACTGCCCTCTGCAACTTCTGCAAGCACAACGGGGAGTCCCGCCACGTCTACTCCTCCCACAAGCTGAAGACAGCCGAGGGCGTGGTGCTGTGTCCCATCCTGAGGCACTACGTGTGTCCCCTGTGCGGCGCCACCGGGGGCCAGGCCCACACTCTCAAGTATTGCCCTCTTAACGGCAACCAGCAGTCCCTCTACCGCCGCAGTGGACGCAACTCAGCCGGCCGCAAGGTCAAGCACTGAGGACCATGAGGTGCCCACCGCCCGCACCCCGCACCCCTCCCGGATCAGCCCCACCCAGTCCCTCCACCCTCCCTCCCACTCCCACAGCCCTGGGATCCCTGGCCCCCAGCACTCCATCCCTGCTGGATCCCCAAATAACGGAGGCTGCTGGCAGCCAGGCCTGGCGCAGGAGCCCTGCGCTGAGCACTCCCGCCCGCCCCCGTGGCTGTCTCTGGGCCACAGGTCTCAGAACTTCAGTCCTTCTGGGGCCTGCTGGTAGCACTAGCCCTGCTCCTTTGACTTCTCAGCCCCAGGCCTGGGGGAACCCCGGATCCCTGGCCCCACAGGACCCCGTGTGCTTCTCCAAACTGGCCTCAGAATTTGGAGTGGGTGACAAGCTGGCCCGACGCTCCCACCGAGAACTTGAGAATGGGCGCTGGCTCCACACCCACCTTCCCTGGTCCTTCAGCACCTGCAGACCCACGGAGGCAGCAGGGACCACGCTGTTCATTCCTCCCTGCCTTCATCGCCTTACGCCAGGAGCTGAGGCAAGGGACCCTGTGTCTTCCCAGGCTACCTGGAGTGCGGCCTTGTGGTGAGCAGACACTCTCAGGCTCCCTTGTTGTTCTTCATTCTTCAACCCATTTCACTCCGCTGCTGTCCCCAACTCCAGTTCCCCGTGGGACCTTCCTGCAGTGAGATGCATCTCCCTGCCACCTCCCCCCACCCCCAAATCATGAGAGGTGACTTTTTCATCCTCCAACAGTTAAATTTGTGAATCTCCCACGGGAAAAAGATCTGCCTGCCTGGATGGGAATATGGCAACTGCCTAGATTTTGTTTTAAGGGCAAACGAGAGCCCTGGTCAGATTTTAAGTTGGTGGCCTTATTTATCTATTTATCTATCTATATATCTATTTATCTATTTGAGGGCAAAAGAGTGAGCCCTTCTCAGATTTTAAGTTGGTTTGTTTGTTTATTTATTTATTTATGGACAAAAGAGAGAGCCCTGGTCAGATTTTAAGTTGGTTGGTTGATTGGTTGCTTGCTTATTTATTTATTTATTTATTATTTATTTTACACAAATGGAGCACAACAAGTTGGTTGCTTTTTGGCTCAGAATGGAGGGCCTGGGCATTGAGCTCTGGTGAATAAAGATCGTTTTGACTTGTCCTTGAAGTACTTGTATTTCTGCCTTGTCTCCTGGCCCTGCCCTTGGAGATGGGGGAGGGTGCCCAGGAGCTGTATTTGCCCCAAATCCCAGGAAGCAGCAGGTGGGGTGGGAAAGGATGCAGGGCTCCTCTCCAGCCCTGTCCCCATGTGTCCGGGTTCCCAGGTTCCTACCCAGCCTGCTCCTTGACCCCAGATTCCCTCTGGGGGTTCCCATCCCACCCTGTAAGATTTGACTTTTGGGTAGTTCTTAAATTTGGGGCTCCCAGGCCTCCCTAGATAAGTATTGGAAAATATGGAGCCTCCCAGGAAACATACACACCAGCACAAAATGCTGCGTGTATTATCACGGGGTTTTTATTCCATTGTTGCACAATTTTTTATTGAGTATCTCTTAGGTGCCACTGTTCTGGGCACTGGGGAAACAGTGGGATCAAAATAGACAAGGTCCCTGCCCTCGTGGAGCTGACATTCTAGTGGAGGGTGCTAAAATAATGTTTAGAGGGTGAGAAGCCCAGTGAAGGACAACAAGGTCGGGTAGCAGAGGGAGAGTGGAAGAGGCTGGTGGTCAGGTGGGTCACATCTGAACAGAGTCCAAATGAAAGGCGGGACCAACAGAGTATCTGGAGGAGGGCATTCCTGGCAGAGGGAGAGCAAGTTCAAAGGTCCTGAGGTGGCACTGGGAACCTGGTGTGTTTGCAGAATGTGCAGGAAGCTGGCTAGGACAGAAGATCAGAGTGGAGGACGGGGTGGGGCGCGCAGAGAGTTCAGGATGTTGCTGACCCTGGAGAGAACCTGGCCTTTAGTGTTCGTTCTCAAGACGCTCAAATCCACCCGTGGACTCTGTGGATTCTTCATCCAGACACTGGTTACAGGGAGAACCAAAGACCCCAGCTAAGTCCTCCACTCACAGCTCCTCTGAATACGCAGCTCTGCCCCCAGGAGCCTGACTCGCAGGTGGAACCAAACAGTGGGGGAAAATAAAAGAAGCCCAAGTTCAGAGCTGGGGTGCCGGCATGGCGGGCAGGGGGAGTCCTACACAAGAGCACCCAGCAGGGGTCCTGCTGTTCCTGCTCTGCCCACTGGAGGAAGGGCACCCCTTTCTGATTCATATCTAGGCCAATGGCCTCTCAACTGAGTGACAGTTTAAAGGGACTGATCCCTGACAAGGTGTGGGCAGCGGTTATGGAAAGCAATGGATGGTGTCCTCAGTACTTGGGAGAACTACTCATGCTCAGTGCTCAGGAAAATACTCAGGACTCAGGATGGGGGGGGGGGTGTAGATCTGCAAAAGTGAGAAAGGGCAGATGCTGAGTCAGCTGGGGAATGGAGGATACAGAGTACCTGGGGACATCCAAGGTGAAATTTCTGGAAGTGATGAACACCCTGGAGAGGCTCAGGGTTGGAGACAGACAAATCACGATCATCAAATTTTTTGGTAATGAATTGAGTCATTTATTCAACAATTATTGTCTGAACTAGAACTGGGGACGCTCAGGGAGCTGAGGAACCAAGGCCCTAGCCTCTCCCCCCAGACTCCCAGGGAGCCTGCAGCCCAGCAATTCGTCTCCTAGGGCTGTTGTCACAAAGTGCCACAAGCCCAGTGGTTCCAAACAAAGGAACCGGCCAGGCACAGTGATGCATCCACCCTCACAGAAACTCAAGTTCAAGGCCAGCTCAGCAACTTTGGGAGACCCTCAGCAACTTAGTGAGACCCTGTCTTAAAAGAAAAAATAAAAAGGGCTGGAGATGTAGCTCAGCAGTAGAGTGCCCTTGGGGTCAATTTCCAGTGGAAGAAAGAAGAAACCAACAAACAAAACAAATGGACGCCTGGTCCCGGAGGCCGGCACCTGAGATCAAGATGTGGGAGGCCTCCCGCTTCCAAGAGCCCTGGCCCTTCCCTGGCTTGAGGCTGCACTGCTCCTGCCTCTGCCTCTCAGCCCTCTGCAGTCTGAGTACCTCTGTCCTCTTCTTACAAGGACACTAATTATTTGGGATCAAGGGCCCACCCTACTGCAGCATGACCTCACCTTAACTAAGGACATCTCCAATGACCTATTTTCAGAGAAGGTCACATACTGAAGGGCTGGGGGTTGGGACACAAGCAGCAACAGCCACTACACTCAGTGAGCAGCCCACAACCACCATATCCTAGGTGAAACCACACCTTCATCTGGTTCCTGGGCTAGGGACCTGGGTGTCCCCTATACTTCCCCTCCCCTCCCTTCCCATTGCTCTGAATCCTCTCAAACTGTCTCTCCAGTTCATTCCCAACCATGCCACGGTCTGCCCTGATCTAGTCTCTCCCTTCCCTGTCCCCAGTTCCCTCCTCACCCCTGCCCCAGATGTCCGCTGACTGTCCACTCCTCTGGCTCTCTCCTGACACTCAGCCCCTGTCCTTCCCTGCTCAACCCTGCTTACAGCTCATGTTCAACCTCCTTTAAAACATTGCCCATAATGCCCTGTGGGGACCCTGATCTCATGACACATGGCGGGACCTCACCTAAGACCAGCTGGCCACTGCTCACAAAAGCAGGACCAGAGAAACACACCCCAGGGCCTGCCTCACTCCAGTTTCATCACCAGCAATCTCAGGTTGGCTCTACTTGTCAACATTTCCCCGTCCCCAATGAGACCCTGACGACTCCCAAGTTTATATCTCTTGTCCCCTAACCCAGCATCTCCCCGTCACCCGTGACCCAGCTTCCTGCTCTACTGAGACCACAACAGAGAATGTTCACGTCTCCTGACCCTACAGCTCTCCTCATGCCTGCAGCAGCCCTGCATCCCCTCCCCTGCCGCTGCAGGACCCAGGCCCCTTAGTCCCCTTCCACTTGTGCTCTGGGTCAAACCCACTGGACCAACTCAAGGAGTTGCACCTGCTCCATGAGTGACCTCTTAGTCTTATGGACTTAAATGCTCTCCCCTCTCTCCTCTGCAGCCTCAATCTCCTCTACAGAAACCAGTCAGATTTCTTATATTAAATAAGTCTCACGTGACCCCAAGCTCTCTTCCAAATAAGACCCATGTTTCCACTTGAATGCTAGAAAGGACTGTCTTTGCTAAACCCTCTCCTGAACACACTCAATTAGCCATCACTCTCACCAGACCACCAAAAATGCTTCCCCCGCCCTTCAGCACTGGGAATTGAATCCAGAGGTGCTCCACTCTGAGCTCAAATCCCAGTCTTCTTCTTCTTCTTCTTTTTTTTTTTTTTAAGTTTTGAGACAGGGTCTTGCTAGCCTCAAACTTGTCATCCTCCTGCCTCAGTCTCCTGTGTGAATGGTTACAGGAGTGCATCACTGTGCCCAGCAAAAATGCTCTTTCAAGATTATATAACTGATCCCAGTGGCTTGGGAGGCTGAGACAGGAGGATTGCAAGTTCAAAACCAGCCTTAACAAAAGTGAGGTGCTAAGCAATTCAGTGAGAACTTGTCTCTAAACAAAGTACAAAAGAGACTGGGGACGTGGCTCTGTGATTAAGTGCTCCTGAGTTCAATCCCCGGTACGGCCCTCAAAAAAAAAAAAAGGATTGTACAACTGAAGTGAGAATACAGCTCGGCTGAAAAGCACTTCCCTAGATTGTGTGTGGACCAGAATTTGATCCCAGTACTACAAATGAATATAGATCACTGACAATCTCCATATTTGCTAGCTCTGGTGGCCAGTTCTCAGTTTACACTGGGCTTGGCCTCTGGGCAGCATTTGGCACCCTGTGTCTTTCCCTTGTTCTCAAAATCACCCTTTACTTGGCCTCTGGGCCACCACACAGCCCTGCTCCTCCTTGGTACCTTCGCTGATTTCTGCCCTTACCTTGCATGTAGGAATGTGCAGCCTCAGGCTTCAGAACTC